GTTCTTAATAAAAAATGTAAAACATAAAGTTTTACATAAAAATTATATTTAGCATTTTTTGCTATTATTAAAACTGACAGAGTTAGCGTGGTTAGTAGTTAAGAAGAGATACATATGACTAAAAAATCATAGCGAGCTGAAAATTCAATGACTTTGCAGTTTCTTTTTATTATTTACTCAGAAAAATATAAACTTTCTCTTCAGAAATTTTTTTTATTTCTTTTTAAGTTATAACAATTTTAATTTGTATATTTTCATAATATTATACGACTTTAAAAGTAAACTTATTATGGCTTGCCTGACATGAAAAATATGAGCAGTGAGTAATAAAAACGACATCGCGACAGTTTAGTCCCAACTTAAAGTTCCATTAAATAACTAAAAATTAATAAAAACAAATAAAAAAAATTTAACTAAATAATTTTATTTATTTTTATTTATTTTTATTTATTTTTATTTATTTTTATTTATTTTTGTTTATTTTTATTTATTTTTATTTATTTTTATTTATTTTTATTTATTTTTATTTATTTTTATTTATTTTTATTTATTTTTATTTATTTTTATTTATTTTTATTTATTTTTATTTATTTTTATTTATTTTTATTTATTTTTATTTATTTTTATTTATTTTTATTTATTTTTATTTATTTTTATTTATTTTTATTTATTTTTATTTATTTTTATTTATTTTTATTTATTTTTATTTATTTTTATTTATTTATATTTATTTTCATTTATTTTTATTTATTTTTATTTGTTTTTATTTATTTTTATTTATTTTTATTTATTTTTATTTATTTTTATTTTTTATTTATTTTTATTTATTTTTATCTATTTTTATTTTTTTTATTTATTTATTTTTATTTATTTTTATTTATTTTTATTTATTTTTATTTATTTTTATTTATTTTTATTTATTTTTATTTATTTTTATTTATTTTTATTTATTTTTATTTATTTTTATTTATTTTTATTTATTTTTATTTATTTTTAATTATTTTTATTTATTTTTATTAATTTTTATTTATTTATTTTTGTTTAATTTTTTATTATCTTTATTTAGTTTCATTTTTTTTATCTTTATTTAGTTTCATTTTTTTTATTTGTTTTTGATCATTTTAATTTATTTAATGGAGCTACGACTGGGGACTGTACTGTCGCAATGTCGTTTTTATTAGTTCACACCTCATATTTTTCATGTCAGGCAAAGTAATAAGTTTACTTCAAAATTTATTTTTACCTATAAAGTCGTATAATGAACATTTCTAAATTAACTTATAACTTTAAAAAATCTGATTTGTCCAACACATGACTTTTCTATTTAGTTATTGTAGGCTTTTTCCGGTTATTTTGTACAACCTATTGCAGCATCTCTATAAATGTTTAAAGGATAAACTAAATATCGTGGGGTTGAGTATTATATTGTTCTATGAGTCCAAAATAAAATTGTTGGGAAATGACAATTAAAAATTATAGGTGTATTATAATGCTATTTGCATTTTTTTATATAATTGTTAGTACTAATTTTGGACTCGTATACTTCAGAATAAAATTTTTTTGCAATCCCCACTTAAATATATTTCTTCTTTTTCTTGATATGACAAATTAAACAATTTCTGATAGAACATTTTTTTTTTTACTGAAAACGAAAAATTTACAAATTAACAGATTTTGTTCTAAGAGCATACCAAATTATTAGAAACTAGTTTTTAGTTCCATAAAAGTTTAAAGTTCTAAGACATTATTATTCTAGTGTAAAAATAAACCTTGATTCTTAACATAAAAATATACGTAATTATGCCAAATAATAAAAAAGTATTCCTAACTTAAAAAAAATAAACATAACACAAAATATTGTTTGCAAAATGATTAGAGGTATTTAACGCTTTACAACATTTTTATCTTTAGTGCCTTTGTTATTGGATGATGTGTTCCATTTATTCACTTTCCTATTTTTGCTGAAACCTTGGAATCAGCTTTGGTTCTTTGCAATTTTTTCTTTGAATTGTCAAAGATAGTAGCGTTATTATATTCTTTAAAACAAGTACGAATAAAAGTAATGTCCACAGCAGGCATAAACTTGAAAAGTTTTGCAAGATCAGCAACTTTCGCAAATGGTAACAGACATTTTTTAGGTTCGGGTGAACATTTTACTACCGGTAGCGTGGGTATAACATATGATGTAGTTGGTCTAGTCTTGCTTGATAAAAAGGTAATGGGGACTTCGGTAAAATTTTCGTCGTGATGATGGAGTTTAAAATAAAATTTAGTAGGTAATTTCTGGTAATACATTATTTGTTTTAAAGAGGCATAAGGAATTTTCTTAAAATTTAAAGTTTGAGATGCCTCTTTGTACAAGTAAAAGTCTTTATGGTTCATATAAAATACCCTTAACGGATGTCTTCGATTTACAGTAGGCAGATGACGCATCAATCCTAGAGGACTGAAAATTTCTACGTTTCAGAGCTTCCTTTCAATTTGGCTGTGAATGTTGTCGACTTCTTGAATGCTACTGTGCCCCGGTTCACAAAATTTTTGTGTAATTTCCTCAATATCTGGATATTTTTCTAGGAACTTTATAAGCGCAAAACTCATAATCGAGTTTTTATTTTGAGGTACGCAAGAATCCGACCAGAGAATAATTTTGTTTACATGAGGAAAATCTGTAACCACCCTTTTTAATTTTTTTTATTAAAGCAGATGCTATATCATTGCCTTGTCTTCCGTGGGTACCCTCACTCCATATACAACAATATGCTTGCTTATTCAAGTTACAATGTGCTGTTAAGTTATAAGTGTTTAATTTTCTGCTATAGAAAAAACATGATACATTAGATCGTGGTAATGCGAAAACATTTTCCAAGTCGAAACATACGATAGCGGTTCGCTCATCTTCATTTTTCCTGTCTAAATCACGAACCATTTTGGCAGATCTTTTTCCCTCTATGTGATTTTCAAACTTAATTTTCTGTTGTTCTGCAATTTCAGTGCCTCTCTTCTGGATCAACAGGAACTCTTCGCACGTGTCGCATCGATATTTTTTGGGTTTTATAAAATCTACATTAAATTCATAATTAGACGGTGTTAAGCAGAAAGTTACCAACCCTCAATTGTAGCAAACTGAGATAATCAGCTCTAAAGTTTTTGTTCGTTTAAGAAAGCTATGGGATATGGGCTAGCATTTTATAGTTTTATAGGGTATATAATTAACTGAGACTTCGTAGGTTCTTACAGCATGCAGAATGTGTATTTTATATAAATCCACACTCAACCTAATATCTGGTATATTGTGGGTTGGTACTTTTCTGCATAATGCCTTCCAATTGAATATATGCCTATAACTCATATTTAAAGTTCCTTCAAAATATTCTTTCTTGCTGTCCATTCTGCAGTAATGAGAGTCAACTCGGGGAATACTGTTAATATGATTTCGAACATCTTGTTTAGCAATCTCACTGGCTACTTTTTTAGGATGGCGACCTTGCTTAGAAGGTGATGGAATTCCTGTCACCAAACTCTTTTTATTTTGGTGAAAATAATTTACTCTCTGTTGGCTCACATCCAAAGTAGATAGAAAAAATTTCTTACAAGTACGTATTTTCTGATTCGAAACATAAAAGTAATATCTAAAAGTGTATTGACGTCGAGAATCCTTCTTGGCGATATTTTTTCTTTTCTTCTCGATTCTTTCTGTATTTTTGTCATAGAAGTGAAATTTGGCGTAATTAGATAGGGCCCCAAAATCTATTAAATATATTTTCTCTTGTAAACTAATCTTTCTGGCGCATAAATATTTGCACTTAGTTTCGCAGTCTAACAGTTTTTAAACACAATTTTTTGTTTATATTCATCTTCCATTTCTCAGATTGTTTTTTACGTTTCCTGTTTAGTTGTTTATTTTCATCAGAACTCATGTTATTTTGTCCGTTTTGTCTTCTGTTTGAATTGGCACTTTCTTGGAGTTCTGGTGTTCCATCTGCTTGCAAATTTTCTACGCTATTTGGTTCTATTATCTCTTCTCCTTCGGTATTTACCACGCCTTCTTCAATATTTACCCCTTTCTCTTTAGGATTAACCTCTTCTTCTTTAAGAAATAAATCTTCTTCTTAAGCATCTTGATCTGAGTCTGTAAATAAATGCATTTGGCTGAGTCAAAAATATTCCACATTTATTTAATTTGTACCTGCAACTTACCATTATTTAAACATAGATCTTTCATTTCTAAATCTGATACTGTGTAATCTGGATCACGTATCGAATCATCGCTGTCTTCAAAATAAGAAAGCCGACAGTCACTGAAACAAAATTATTTGCCTAATTGCTCGTTCCAACAGCATATAAAAACAAGAAATAACAATGTAAATAAAGTATAAAAGTTTCCAATTTATATTGTTCTAACAGCCAATGTTATGAAAAAATGTAGGGTTATAATCGCATTAAAAGTGAATTTAGATAAACTGTCTTCTTAAATGTAATCAACATATTATTAAATAATGTACATAATACTTACGGGTCCAGTTCACCCTCCATGATACGTATTTCAATCGAAATTCCTTAAAATTGCACCACAAAACCACGTCGTGTTTATTTCTACGACTTACATACAAAACTGAAAGAGCAAAAATTATATTGTTCTAACAGACCAAAATTCTATCTTCTTATTGGTTGACCTGTTAGGACATTATAATATTAAAATATTTTCAAATATTAGTGATAGAACAATTTATTAATGGGGTTTTCTCAGTTTGTGTACTAAATTAAATAGATATTTCTATATTCATAGAACAAAAACTTTATGTACTATTTTTATAGTATAAAAAGCGGTTTCGCGCCAAAAGTGCAGTTAGAACATTATAATACTCAACCCACGATATATACTAAATTCTTATAACGATTCAAAATAAATTGTACACCCTGGTTTATTTTCGGTATACGTAAATGTGAACCGTTCTTCTTAATTATTTTAATTTTGCGAAATTTATTTTATCTATTTTCAGGTGATACTGAAGCTCTTATTCCCGCCGACGTATTTTTTGCAAAAGTTATGGAAGAGACGGACACTTATATAACTTGGCCAAATAAATTGAAGATTGGGGCAAAATCAAAAAAAGGTAACGGTTTCATTTGTATCTGTAACGTACTTTCCACAAAATTTAATACATTTTATAAGGTTTGTAAATTTTATAAATTTATGAACAAATACAATAAAAATCATTCATAAACATTTGTACCTATATTTTGCTGAGACGTACATGAAAAAAATTGATATTTCGAAGATGTAGATATTTTTTGCCATAAAGGTAACACTAAGTTCCTGTTACAAGTGAATTTTTAAATTTTTGTACATAACGAGAGCTAAATTTTCTTGTTTGCATGTAAGTTTCATTTAAATTTTCAGTTTGATCATTATATCCCTTCAGAAAAAATATTCCTCCGATCGTAAATGTTATTATCGGTAACAGTAGTAACTTTTTCAGTTTAAAAATTTATAAATAGATATGTTATCAACACTTGAGAAACAATTGCCTTGTACTCGAGTAGGCCACTCCACTAGGTAATGGATGTTGAAAGATGGAAAGACATTATTCAGTTTAAGAAAGCTATAAGAATCACAATTAAAATCACCTAAAGTTATAACAGTGTAACTATATAAGTTATAACAGTGTCATTTGCGAAACGCATGACACTTTTTCGGTTTAATTGCATTAAACATTTATTCCATGAATAATCACTAAATGCTTAAATATTTGAGGTAGCTTTCTATTATTTTATATATTTTTCCTTTCGGGTCGTGTTAACTTTATACAATAACCGCTTATGACAAACTGCATCAAAGGCTTTACAAAGATCGACAAAGATGTAAATTGTAGCTTTTTTTGATTCTAAATCGTATAATTTCGAAGTTAAGGTGAATACAGCACCCCTTATAATTTTCGGACAAGGATATTTCAAAAAGTAATTTTGTTAGAATATTAAAATTTTGGCAAAATAAATTAGGTAATATTATCTAGATAAGCATATATTTTAAAGTTTAAAATCCTTTTAGTTTCCGAGAGAGAAAAATAAAAAAACTTGAAATTTTTAAATTCCACAATGAAAATAAATGCATTCCTCAACAGCACTATTCTTATTATGAGCCCGAAATTTGAACTATTAATGTCTTGTTAATGATTTTTTAAAATTCGCCAAAATTAGCGCCTGTAACTATCGTATCGTACACTCTCACTCATTCGTTTCTTGCAACGATTTACACCAGTTTACACCAGAAGATAGCACTTAACAAGGCGTTTTGGTCACTAATTTTGGCGAATTTAAAAAAAATCATTAACAAGACATTAAGAGTTTAAATTTGGAGATTATATTAAGAATAGTGCTGTTGAAGAATGCTGTTATTTCCATTATGATATTTCAAAATTGAAAGGCCTTTGATTTTTTTTTCTTGGAAAACTCTAAAATATATGCATATTCTAGATATTATTTATTTTGCCAAAATTTTTAATTTTTTAAAAAAATTAGTTTTTGTGATATCCTTGTCCGAAAATTATAAGGGGTGCTGTAAACATCTTAATGCCGGTATCGCATCTTTTGTTGACTGAAGAAATAGATAATAAAATATATATTGAATTAGCTAATATGAAACATTTTTTATTTAGATCCTCACGTCAGAATTGCTGGTCGACCTGAAGATGTAAAAGCTGCCAAAGAAAGGATTGTAACGTTGTTAGACACAAGGGTAGGTATAATAATATATTATAACTAGACTTAGGCAAATATACATTTAAAAAAGTCGAGTTTATGCGCATAAATATGCATGATTCGAGTCCAAAATATGCAAAAACTCAATATATGCAAAAAACGCATATTTAAAATTATTAGGTAGATGCGGTACATACCTAATTAAAACTTTCATATAATAAACAAAATTACATAATTAGATAAATTTATTAAAACTACATATTGAAACAATAAATAACTAAATGTTTCTTAAAATTTATAACAAAAAATTTATGTTTTCTCTCTGAATTACATCGTCGCCTCAAAGCAATAGTAGGGCTTCAATAAAATCTCGATTCCGAGATAATTCAATTTGAAACGTTCATGATTATTTCAACCTCGAATAAATCTGCCTTTAGTGAACGCATCCCATTGAAATTTTGGGAACTTTCTGAACTTTCAAATTATGTTAATTTGAATTCAACAAATGTTGCTGGAAAATAAAAAGATTAACTTGTCTTACTATTAAACTGCATGACATTTTGTAGGATATCAAAGTAAATCTAATAGTTCACTTAGTGTTTCCCTAGAACGAACACATCATACTGTAGAAAATACTATTTTCCTCTTGTTTCAGATTCTTCCTAGATTTAATTCTAATACATTGTGGAAATAATAAACTTATAACAAAAAAATCCATAAAAAGTGGATAATGTTTTATTGAACTAAAAATATTCTTTATAATTATCTGCGGTTTCTTTCGGGGATAAAAAACTGTTGATGCTGTTTTGGAATCAAATTTAGATCGTAGAAAAAGGAGAGTGTAGATAAAAGTCATTTTCGTCTATTTTTTTTTTATTCTCACTCTTATCTTCGAAATTCATTTTCAAAAGAAAATTGAAGCAATCATTCATGCAAGCATATCGACGGTGTTTCGGTAAAAGGGCGAATACGCCATTATACTAATTTTACAGGAGGAATGAAAAACTGTAACTATCATTTTGATTCATATATTTTAATTTAAACCGTGGCTGCTCTTTTTTTGATATTACTACATTGATTTTTAATAGTGTTTTTCCCAATATAATA